TATCTGAGGTACAAATCTTTTTGCACCAACCTATAATTTATATTAATCTTATTAAATAATTATTTAATATTTTTTATAAATTATAAAATAATTTAAAATTTATTTATTTATAAATTTATAATTATTTCTTAAATATTTAAAGATTTATTTAGCTAATTTTATATAAAATTATTTTTATTTTATAAGTAAAAAGTAGAATTAAAAAAACTTTTTGAATTATAATATTAAATTTAAATTAATTTTTATAATAATTTTATTTTATATTTTATATTTATATAATTAATATAAAGTATCTAAAATAATAATAATAAAATATATAATAATATAAAATATTATTAGAAAATCTATTTTAAATTTTATTTCTTTATAAAAATTATATAGTTTAAATAAAAATTTATAAAAAATAATTATTATTTAAATAATAAAAAAATATTATATACTGTTGAATCTTATTATACTGAAGGTAAGAAAGAGTTATCTATTATTCATTATAACAAGAAATTTAATAAAATGAATACTCTTTTTATAATGAAGTCTAGTTTAAAATTAAGTAATATTTAGTATATTGAGACTTTTATAAATAATATTTATTAGTTTGCAAAATAAATACCAATATATAAGAAGAATAAATAAGTTAAACTAACTAGTAAAAAAAGAATCTATTTTAGATTGCTTTTTATTTATAATATTATATAACTTCATCTTTCTTTTCAATAAATAAAAGACTTTAAGCTCATTATAATCTATCTTTATATTATCTTGTTAAAAAAAATTAAATATTATTTTAAATATAATTATGACATCTTTAGTCAAGATAGTAGAAATATATGATGAATTACTTTCATTATCATTTTCTTTTTCAATAAGAAAAAATAAAGAAATAATCATCTTATCTACTACTATATTATTATTTATAGCTCCTTTATTAATTGATATATATTCTGTAATACTCAATACAGAATTAATTGATAATTTATTAATTAAGTTCTGAAGAACTTCTTGTTGAGATGCAACATTATTTACTATAGTATTATTAAATAATTCATTATTCTCAAAACAGATAATTCCTGTTTTTTCTTAATATTTAATAATTATATTTGGACTTACACTATTTCATACCTTAGTCACATAATTAATTACTTTTTTAATATTAAAAGATTTTAATTTATTATCAGTAACTTGTAGTTTATCAAAATTTTTTATTTTTCTTTTAAGCAACTATTTTTGATAATAAGCCTGTAAATAAATATAATAATCTTAATATTTTATAATAATAATAATAATTAAATCTGTGATAATTTACAAATCTTAAAACTATAGATAATTTCTATATTTAAAGATTATAAATATGCAGTTATATTGGATGATAAATAATAAATTGTAATATTCATCAATTCAATATCAAGTAAGTTATAAGTCAATGTATTATCAACTAATAATAAGATTTTTCAGTTGTAAATACATATTTTTTTGTTTAATTTCTTTAAGTAATTATTCTAAATAGAAGTTTTGCATTCATACTTAACTATTTTAGTAATAATCTATTAGTAACGAATCTTTATTAATTCTATTTAATAATTAGGAATTTTAATATTTATAAATTAATAAAGGTGTTAACTTTTCAGTATTTATTATATTACATATTAACAAGATAGTGATCCTATCTTTATTCTGTTTTAATTTAGATATAGATCTGATTGATAATTATATTTAGATTTTATCTTCTAATAAAGATTTGTTTCATCACAATTAAAAATATTATCAGATTAATATTATTCAATAATATTTTTTAACTCAAGTCTCATTTCTGGAATTTGTTTGATAGGTATACTTTAAGCTTTATTATTCTTATTAAAAGTACTAATAGAATATCTCTTTTTAAATCTTTAAAGCCATTCAGATGAAGCTTTAAAATTAGTTATCTCTAATAGTTCAGCAAAGTTCAAAGCTTTTTTTTGAATCAGAAAACTCATAATAGTTATATTATATTTAAATATCTTTTTAATCCATATAATTAATATTTCTTTAATATATATAATAGTTGAAGGATATAATTTTTTCAGTCTTACTTGATAAGAATTCAGATTAATTTCTAGCTATTTCTCAGATTCTTTCAAAATGTTTAAAACTTGCCCTTCATTAATTTTGAATTATTTTGCTAGTTTAATATTTTTTGGTTTTGATCTACTTTTTTTTAATATACAGATTTTGTATTTTTATAATACTAAAATAATGTTATATTATTTGGTTTACTGTTGAGATATTTTATTGATATAATTTTAGAAAGAGACTAAATTCATTATTTTATAGCTTTTTTTGTTATATAATTAAATATTTAATAAAATAGTTTTACATTTATCTTAATATTTAATTAATATAATTTTTTATATATAATTAAATAATTTCTTTATTATTATTTAATGCTTGATAAGAATAATATGATTGAAAAATAACTAAATAATACAAAAATACTTCTGATAATTTATTTTGAAATCATATTAATAATATAATAACTAATCATAATGCTGATGAATCATATGACAAATTTTATAATTGCATACTAATAATCTGATCAATTATATAACAAATTTTATAATTGCTATAACTAATCACTATGCTAAATTTTTCATTACGTGATAAATTTCATTATAAAGTGACTAGTACAATATACAAAAATCCTGCAACTAAACTTCGGTAATGGAATAACAAGATTTATTATTAAAATTTATAATAATAATTAAATTTAAATATTAAAAAAAAGAAAAAGGAACACTTGCTTTGGTATAACAAAAATTTGTTATAATGCATTTTGTTATAACGGGATTTGACTGTATATATATATATATATATATATATTTTAATATATTAGAATAAATAAAATATAATTTAATAAAAAATCTTATTAATATCTCTTATAAACTTGAATTTAAGTTCAAAAAATTTTTAAAAATAATTTTGATAAGTTATTTTAAATATTGCTATTAAGTTTATTTATTAAAATTATTTTTATATGGAATTTTTTTATATATAAAATTATTCTAATTATTTTTCTAAATTAATTTAAAAAAATAATATTAATATTCTTTAATAAATAATCATATGCTTTTTTGTAAATATTAATATTAATATATATATATATATTTTTATATGATTTGAGTAATTTTTCATTTTTTTGTTTCACACTGTATTTATAATTCATATCACCTAATAAAAAATCTTGAATTTCTGCTTATTATAATTGATATAAACAAGAAGCAATATAACAGTATTACAAGCATTTGTAATACTGTAATATCCATTTAGAATTAATGGATTTCGTTTTGTCCTTTTTTTTATAGGATCCGAGGTTTTCTTATATATGTTTTTAGAACCAGATATGTATTTGTGAATTTCGTTCATTCTTTTTACAAATTCTGAAATTTCTCATATTTAAAGGCAGAAAGATAGACATGCTCATGAATTTCATTTGTCCTTTTATAAGATCCGAAGTTTCCTCAAGTATGCTCTAAAAACAGAAAAGTAAACATATATCCTTGACTTTTGATCCGTCCTTTTTATATAAGATCCGAAGCTCCACAAATATGCTTTTTTTCAACTATTGTGATATAGAGATTTTATATTAAAATCAGTGTCAAAACTGTCAAAGAAAAAATTAATGATTATCGATATGAGAAACGAATGAGAAGAGATTTTATAAAATATTCCTTGTCTTGGCGAAAACTCAACAAGTAGTAAGTTCTATACTAAGAAGATATGTAAGTTTATTATAAAACATAAAAATAAAATGCAAAAAATAATATGAATATAAATATTGACGAGTACAAGATACATGAAAATGAATATGAAATTCTAAAAAAAAGAAATCATATTATACATGTTGAATGAATTAACAGTAAATAAATTAATAGAAGTCGCAATCGTTGACACAAATTTTTGATTCCGGTCTAAGGAGTTGGTGCGGTCAATAAACCGACGCAAGCTGCCATACAGACACCTTGAGCGACATTACAAGCAATAGCTGCGAGTGGAGCGCCCAAGCCACCGGTAACGGTACCTATTTAAAAAGAATCAAATGATTTAACGAAAAAACATTTTGAAACTTAATAAAATATGCGTTCACAAATTGGTATCTCGTTCATACCAGCAACTAAACCAGCAGAAGCGTAGCAAGAGACCCATCCGAGATTACAGGCAGTTTGGCAAACTGCATATGCTACAGGCCCAGCGTAGGTACCATGAATGACACAAAGGAGAACGAGGAAAGCGAAGAATATTTGTTGTTTGGAATTCATTGTTTAATTTATTATTAAGTCGAAGATTATTTGAAGGAATTTAAGACGAACTGCAATGGATTATTATATGGTTGTCTTGTTGTTGGGCGTTTGTTAAGCCGATGATTAATTGCAAAGATATTTATGACGAAGAACCGTTTCAATTATATGTTGTATTATATAGTTTTATTAATTGTTTGTTTGATTTACGATTGAGAGCTACTTTGCAATCAACAGAATTTATATCTTCCATGAAAAAATATCGGAGTACATAAAGTCATCAAATTAACTTCAAAAACACATAATTGTAATGTTACGCAGTAGCGAAAAACAATGACATTCCTTATCTATTTATTGGATAGAATAGGGTATGATTGTCTAACTGCGCCAGTATTATTGATTTCTCTATGGAATGTTTATCGCAATATATTGTGCGCAGTAAATGTAAATAATACAGTACGTGTGGTAATAACAAATAATTGTTCTGTGAGGTAGAACAAATGATAAACTTTCCATGAAATGATGTAATACGATAACTTTATTTTACGCAAAACATCAAGTGATTGAAAAGAGTTTCGAATTTTAAAATGGGTTTTCCGATACATGTCCAATGAAATGACTCTGTGATAGTTCTATACATCATCTTCATTAATAATTTTTTTGCTTTAATGTATTTATGTGATCTCATAACAATAAAAATATAATCGTGGCTAGGCTGGTTGTCACATTACAGTATAAATTCGTTTTTCATGTTGATTCTTTTAAAACCGCAAACAATATAACATAATATCAAACTATCAACGGTTTAAATCAGTAGAAGAATTAATAAGTAAAGAACATAAAGACATGAAAAATATCATTCGATTATAGTGACATAATGCATGAGTATTTAATAGTCAATTAATAGATAAAAAAGATTACTGTATGATACATGCGTTTGTATTTGTGTAAGTAGAATATTTACCAATGATAAAATGTATCTCTTCTAGATAAAATAAAAATGTTCTTTTTCTACATTCTTTTTGTGGAATTCGAATAGAAAACAATAACGGTTTCAGTATACTGTTGTTTTGCATTACTTTAACGAATAATAAATACATGTACTGGATAATGATTCATAATCAAAAAAGAATAAGAATGTAAATAAGTGTATATACATGTACATAAACATATATCAATACAGAATGATAATGACAAAAGCAAATCTTTTCTAACTTTAAGTAACTAGTGCGACTATAACACAAGCGACATCTTGATAGGAATTAAAAGCGAGGACGGCGTTTGAGACACCTACGCCTACAATGATTGTTTCCTTTTTAAAAAATAATGGTTTAGCGAAAAAATATATTTAGACAAACATCACTGATCAATCCAAGCATCGCCTACCAAGATAAATTTTCACAGCGATAGTAATTCATTAAATGATTAATACGTCGTTTATACATATTTACTGCATTAACATATTGCCGAATCTATACCCCATATTTTTCTTTGATCATCCCCGGAGAATAGGGTGCGCTATAATGGGGACAGCGTAAATTAATAATCTGTGCTCTCTCAAATCAGACAAAGGAAAAGAAGAATACATTATGCTTAAATTTAACTTGGTGTTGTAATAAAAAAATGACGGGAGACAATATAGTTTAACGTTTAACCTTAAACCTAAAATATTCTTTAATAGTTGTCAACACACATAATTGCGCTTTCTTATTACATGTAGTTTGTTATCATGTGAGAATAAAAACTCACAAAAAATAAAAAAATGTGAGACTTAATGTAGATAACAACCAATAATTTTCCCAACAGGTGATCAGCTAATTTGGATAATTCACGCGATTTTTTTTAAGAGGAAAAACCAATCAAATCGCAAGATATGATGTATATAGTAAAATTTTGTAAAGAATAGTTTTATTAGAATACAGAAAAGCAGTTTCATAGATAAAAAAATGAAAAGTAACTTATTTTCAGAAATCTACAATAGCTTATCTCCAGTTTATTTATACAAAAATAAAAGTGAAAATATAAAGATAATTTTATATATATTTTTGATTTCTTATCCTATTATAATTCTTTTATTTTTTTAAATCGATTTAATTAACAAACTGAATAAAGAAAAAAGGGTTAGATTATATTAAGTTACATATTTAATTTTTTATTAAAAATACTGAAACGATCTATTTATTCAATAAAATTACAAAATCATGTGTAAACTGCAAATTTAATCAAGTGATAAAAACAAAATAACTCGAAATATTTTATAGAAAGTTTGATTATTATACATATATAAAGACAAATATTATCACCCATATCGATATCTAAAGAAGCAATCATATTTATTTCAGAGTATCAAACACTTGCTAAGCATAACTAAGATAAAGTTAGTAAAAAATTAAAAGAGTACTTTGTACGATAGCTTTCATCTTTTGCGAAAAACCATACTTTTCTTTTAATAGGTGGTTAAAAACATATAAAATTATGAGCTTTTCAAAATTAATTTATCTTATGAGTGTTTTCACAACTTGCCGCGTTATATTTATATATATATGAAATAACATGTTTTGTTAACATTGACATTAATGATTTGGAAGCAAACTACATTGTTTAATTTTTGTTTAAATGCCACCTTTTTTTTGACATGCAAACATTCAATTAGTTGTAGTCTCCAAGTGATTGATATGAATTTTGGTAAATAACAAAAGTTTCAGAGAAAATATTTTATGACCATGTTAATGCATAAATATCATTATCTTCATTTAACAAAAATGAATAGAGAGATATCATAATCAAGTAAATTTTTTGATTTTATGATAAAAAAGCCATTGAACATGAAGCATTTGGTGAAGTTTATAGAGCAAAGTGAAAAACGAAGATTTGATCGTTATATAGTAAGCAATATTTTTTTTAGAGCACGGCAAGCAGTTTCATAGACAAAAAAAGATACAAGCTACTTTTCAAAAAGAAAGTTTTTGAATTTTTTTGTTACATTAATCTTGCGATTCAATTGGTTTACCCTCTTAAAAAAATCACATAATAGCCTCTTTTTTTGTCATGGCTAAGGTATTAGCAAATTACTCTGAATTCATTTCTTATGTAATCACGTTCTCTGCAATAACAACTTTTTCTAGTTCCAGATATTATAAAGCATAAATATATTAATTCCAACCACGATTGGAATTAAAAATTAGATTATTTATGCTATATTATCAAAAGTCTTGGAATCATTCACAAAGTTTGTAGATTGTAACTTTCATGCTAGAAATATATTAATGCATTACAATCCTCAAATTGCTAATTTGGAGTTAAGATTCAAGATGCAAGCCAAAAAATTCGTGGAAAACTTCCTAATATGAGCTCAGGGTGCTAGATAGAAAGCCATACGCTAACACTGCAGATATTTATAGCTTTGGAATGGATTGTAAACGAGATTGCGAAGTCATATCTTGCATGACATCTACAGAGAAGTATGACTTACGATACCAATAATATTTCGGATGATGTAAATTTATTATTGAAAAATGTTGAGATCTTACTCCAGATAACAGACCAATTACTAAGAACTTTTCAGCTTTATTCTATCTTTGCATACGATTTGGCATAGTAACTGAGTACTTTGCATTTTCTGTGCTATGGCTCTTTAGAATATGATTGAATTAAAGAGTATCTTAAACTAAAATGGAAACAATGATGAGATGATGAAAATAACAGATTTATTAAATGCTAGTCGAAACTTCAAATCAATGGCAATTCCAACCAATACAGGTTCGTAGATTTATTTTTAAATATATTGATAACAAATACGTATTTAGATTTGTATGTTCAAAATGAGTAAAATCATTATAGTATTAAATATTAAGTTTAGAAAATGAGAGCTACAGCTTTACAGTTGTCTGATATTCTTGGACGCGAACCAATCATAATTATCCATAATCAATCCTATTGCAGACCTTGTCTCATCGATTCCTTGTCTATTAATTTGAATCTTTATATCAGGTACAAGCATTTCAAAAAGATCCTTGTTTGGGACACAATCTAAAAAGATTCTCTTTTTGATGGTATCCAAATCGCAGATAAAAACTTCAATGACGGAATTTCTATCAGCACGTGAGTTGTTCTGCATATGGCGTATTAATATTTTTTGACTCAGCTACTTTTGGAAAAACGATATAAGTTCCTCTCACTCTAATAATACATTCAAGCTTACATTACCCACTAGCGTTTCTACCGGCACACCACACCTTTTTGAGGGATGAGAAAATTAATAAATCTGTAAAACAAGGGCTTAATATCAGCAGATCATAGAACTAAGGCTACTCTGCCTTCTCGAGTTTGCATATTATTTTAATAATGAGACCAAGAATATATTATATGGCACTCAAAGCAGACCTTTTCACTAAAAATTTATTTAAAATACTTTTCATTTTTTTTATTAAAATAAATTTAAATATTACAAATAGTATTACTACAAATTATAATTATATTCTTCGCATCCTATGGTGATTGCATAGTCTGTCAAAGTTTTTAACTTTATGTATATAAAAAAATGCATGATGAATTCAGTGCATTGAATGTTTGTCTTTAAGCAATTAATGCTTATTTTTAATAATGTCTGTTTTGTTGGTTTGAATTAATGTTTAATGAATTAAATAAAATGTCCCTTAATTTTGTTGACTTGTATGTTTGCATGGCATGTATGATGTATATGATCCTTTGATTTGTTGACTTGCATATTTGCGGCATGTATGATATATATGATCCTTTGATTTTGCTGACTTGTATGTTTGCATGATTTTTATTGACTTGCATGTATGCATGGTATGTTTGATTTTTGTTAACTTGCATGTTTGCATGGTATATTTGATTTTTATTGACTTGCATTTTGCATGGTATGTATGATGTATGTGATCCTTTGATTTGTTGACTAGCATGTTTACATAATATGTTTGATTTTTGTTGACTTGCATGTTTGCATGGCCTGTATAATTTTGTTGACTTGCATGTTTGCATGGTATGTATGATTTTTGTTGACTGCATGTTGCATGATATGTATGATATATATAATTCTTTGAGTTTGTTGACTTGCAATCACCATAGCATCCCATCCTTCTTTCCACCCAATTCTCCAATCATCCTTCTTCCACCTAACTGTCTTTCCATTCCTTTTGGTCCAATTCTTCAATCATTCTTCTCCTCACCTAACCGTCTGGTTAGAAATATCCAAGCCCCACCAAATGATAATTTCTTATCACTTAATGAGGCTGGAGTCAGATACTGCCCCTACACGTCACAGCACTGCATCAGTTACCCCATTCCTATCTCTCCGGCCCTTCAATAAAACACTGTCGTTTCTCCAGGCACCTCTCACAATACCTATCCTGCCGTGATGAGAGGTAGTAAATGCCTCACTCTCGCATTTACCCGTGAGTTACTTCTGACTTCTCTGACCCTTTTAGGGCATATACATCCCCTCCGGGCACCCTGCCGCTAAAGCAGAGGGTTGGTGAGATGCCTCCCCGCTATCACGCATCTCTCCCATGAAGTCCATCCCATGTTTTCATGTTTATCTCCATGTAAAGGTGTTTTAATCTTTCTCTGACCTTTTAGGCACCTCCTTATAGGAGGTAATGAATGCCCCACTCATCACGTTCACCCGTGATTGCATCTTTCTCCGGCCTTTTAGTCACCTTCTCATAGAAGGTGGTGAATGCCTCACTCATCGCATTCACCCGTGATTACATCCATATTTTCATGGTAAATTAGCACATGTTAGAAAGTTTATTAACGCGTTTTCTGTTTATGCGAATGATATATGCACTTGAAAATGAAGTTCGGAAGAATATCTTTTTTTCCTAGGTATAGGATCCGTTGCTTTTTTTGCTTCGTATATACAAATGGCAGATGACAAACTTGTCGGTGCCAATAACTCACATACTCTTGCAATAACCAAAATGACCTTTTTTTTGCTTTGTGTTTGGTTGCATACTAAATGCTTACTTTGATTCTCCAGTTAATCGAAATTTAACGTTCGCTTCGTAAAAATGGCGAGCAAATAAGGAAAGATCTGTCTATTTCAATATTAAAAAATTATCTTTCTCTGAAAGTCAAAAATAATGAGTATTCCCGACAAGAATTCCTCGACATTACTATGATATGATGTCGTGAGATTTTCCTAAAATCAAGTGACATCACCGATATCGATAAACAATAAACAAATCAAATGACATCAAAATATCGATCTACACTTACACTTGGTGTAATAATTGTAACTATTATTATGTAAATTGACCCAAACCTCCTTTTGCAAGATATTCAATGTTGGTAAATCTTTCAAAAGGAATCCATTCGAATAATTCATTATCTTTATCAAATTTGTTGCATTCTTTTTATTAAATTTTCAAACATTTTATGCACTACGTTCATGCGATTCCATCACTATTTGTAACTGGGTTCTGTAATCAATAATATCGTCGACATAATCACATAGCAATTAAACTCAATTTGAATCTAAGTTTGATAAATTTGGTAACGGTCGAAATCCAGAACGCTCATAAGCCCGAAAGATCGAAATCTCGAAAGTATAATGCATGTGTCCCAAAATGCATGGAATACTAAAATTATTACAGGATGTCGTTTATCAGGTTTTCATTCATTCGGGATGTCTTTCACCAGGTTTTCGTACATTCGGGATGTCGTTTCGTGATTCGGGATGTCGTTCTTTCGGGATTTCGTGCTAGACCCTGAACTCTTGAATAATTTGCTTTGAGTTGTAAAATTATTTCAACACAAATTTGCTTTCTCCACGTCGTTTCCCACTCGGGTAGGGATATATAATAATCATCATAATTATCAAGAGTCCATCCAACCAGATTGATTTAAAAATTGGCCCAAAAAGATATTCAATGTTTATAAAGGAATCCATTCGAATATATTGTTATATCGATATTCTTTGTTGGATTCATTTATTAGATTGTCGATATCTTTATCCCCGCTAGACATTTGGATTTCGTTTGTGATATCATGAGTATTGTGAGCTAAACACTTATCGTAATATTCATCTATCGACATTCATCATATTCATTATAGTAAAGCGCACATGAATTGGATTGAAATGGTCATAGTTATGTATGCCAGTGGGATTCAAATTCTATGTGTGAATATTATTTGATTGTCTTCCAAGTAAATTTTTCGAACGCGACTTTCCATTTAAATTTATTTTCTTGATATCTTGATTTTGATTAATAATACTACTTTTACATAGTTAATGAAGAATTGAAGTATATTAAAGTTTATTTCTATTATCTAATATTATATCTTATTTATAATTATATATAATACTAAAATAATTAACTTATTTAAAGCTTATTACTAAAAGTTAAATTTTCAAAATATTTAAAAGTTATAATAAAATACACTATCTGAATATTAAGAAAGCAGTTAATTTTAATATGAAAGCATAGAGAAATATAACTCCCCAGATAATTATTAATAGCTAACACAAAACTGAAATAGTATCTATCATTGATTGAGTGAAGTTAGCCAAATTTGAATATTAAAAAGAATTCAAGATCAAAAATCAATATTCAATAATTTATTTTAAGTATTTTAACTAATATTATATAAGTAATAATGGCTCTATATTTATCTTGATAATACTATTAAAATAGAAAAGATTACTATAGATAAAGAAGCTATTATCAAAAAGATTTGCTAACCATCTGATCCTGATAGTGACAAAGATAGTGAGATTGAAATTGAGAAAATTCCTCATGCTGTTGTCTTGGAGCAGTGTAAATTATATATGAAATAACAAGATCTGGAAGAATATGTAGAAAAACAAGACTTACTAAGATTGTAAAGTTATGATGCATTCAAATAAATGTATTCCAGATGAAATAACAAAGAAAAGTGATAGATTTTTTTATTGAAGAACAGCTATAAGAAAAGCTTGGAAGAAAAGCTTTTACCAAGTGAAATAAAGAGATGATTGGATCAAACATAAGGAATTATATATGTATGAGCTTTCAAAAGTCTTATAATGATAATAAATGGATCACAATAAACATCACATTCCATAATGCAGACATGTGATTTTCAAAACTAATGATTACACATAATTTTCCAAATCCTAACCCTAACCTTAACACTCGTAGTTATCAGCCCTCGCATATATCAACCAAATGGTCCGGTCCCGTGATGTTGATAATAACGAGGGATGACTGTATATGCATATTCATATTTTTTCTAGTAATTTTATATCATTTTTTAAAGTTCATGCATTATATTCCTGAAAAATGATACCGGTGACAATTTAAAATGCAAAGACAGTTTTGATTGGAAATTTTCAAGCTATATACATATTCATAAACTTTTCAAAAAGATGATTCCTATCTGTTAGAGACTTAAGATGCCATAACTATTTTAATTATCATGAAAAAAATTATATATATATATATATATATATATATTTCAAGCCAGGCAATACTTTGTGAGGATACTGTACATAGAACTTTAGGTAATGAAAACATCGATAAATAATAATATTGCGACGATAGTATACTAAATCGTTTTAACAAATATGAAGTAAATTGCGTCAATTTCGCAAATGTTCTCAATAAATAAGACGATAACACAAGTCTGAATTAAATAACGTATTCAGTATTAATAAAATATGTTAGGTGTAGCTTATATAAACCAAATGGTTGTGTAAATATATTCAATTGCATATAAAATGAAAGGTCAAGAAAGTGATTTTATATATTCTAAATGATAGAATGGTCATTGTGTAATTGCTTGTAGTTTAAACTTGAAACATATTTGTAAATTAAACATCAATTGTAAATTACTGTTACGAATAGGTAGTTTCTCGAAGATGGAATTTAACATTCAAATGCTGAATTTGACAAAATAATTAGTACTGCAAAGAATCTCTCAACATTACAGTAAGCTGCAAGAATTGATCGAATATCTTGATGGGAAGCAACTACGTATAAAGCAACCGTTAAAGACGTGATTAAAAGAGATAATTAAATAAAAATGCAGTTATATTTAATTGTATAATTATTTTTAATTATGAATTCTATAATCTAATAATAAATAAATAAATAAGAGTTTATTTATTCCATTTCTGAACTTAGAATCTTAATAAGGATCATTTAACGGATCGAGCATTAAATTGGCTATTAGCATATAAATTATTAAATAGTTACGATATATAGAATCAGCTTGAAGCAATATTGTTCTCGGATAAACTATATTTCAACACGAAATATTAAAGAATTTATTCAATTAAAAATTTGTATATAAAAATATTTTAGATACAGTACTATAAAATGTAAAAAATATTTTGTAAGATATATTCATTTTTATTATTCTGTATTATAAATCGTATAAATAGTGAACATTTATAAAATTGCCTTTTCGTCTCTTTGTGCAGCTTCAAAAGAAAAAATATTTTATGTAGAAAGAATTCTAAATGTTTGAGCGTAGTTTTCAAGACTCATGAATTTTCGCTAGCTTTTATTTATATTTTGTTTACATTTAAAAGTTAACATTACGTGTTTTTAAATGATTATTGATGAGGGAATTATAGTTGAAACAAGTCTGTTTCTGCATGCTCATGATCGAAATCTGCAGCAGTTTGTGCTGAATTTGCTGCTTCAATGTCTAATGCATTCGTAGTGGCTGCTTCAGTGGTGGCAGTATTTTCATCGAGAACGTTAGCAAAAAGGACAGGTTTAAAGCCACCCAAAAAATTACGTTTGTTGACAAGTACTGTAGACGCATTTTCATGATCGAAAGTTGCTGCAGTTTGAGCTGCATTGGCCGCTTCTATATCTAATTCATTCGTAGTGGCCGCTTCAGTGGTGGCGGTATTTTCGTCGAGAGATTCGATAAAAACGACAGGTTTAAAGCCACCCAAAAAATTACGTTTAAGAAGTAATGTTGACGCATTTTCATGATCGAAAGTTGCAGCAGTTTGTGCTGAATTAGCTGCTTCAATTTCTAATGCATTCGTGGTTGCTGCTTCAGTTGTGGCGGTATTTTCATCGAGAACATTGGCAAAAAGGACAGGTTTAAAATTGTTCAAAAAATTACGCGCTTTATTAACTGGGACCGCAAAAGTGCTGCTCGATTTGTTTAATGTTAAGGCAACAGCCAAAAATACAAGCACAATTTGAGTGAAGAATTTTAGCATTTTATTTATTGATTAATGATTTATCTTATGGGTTAAAGTGAGTTAAAGGATTTTAATGATTTGTGAAATGAGTTAGCAGAGGAGAAACTATAGTCTTGTATAAATAACCTTTTCAATTATTAATGCATCAAGATTTCTGATTCATTTATGTTATGCCATCTTTTCATCAACGAAGCATTCATCATGATGTTCTTTTTCTGTGAGATTATTTTTGCATTGTTAATGCGATGCACATTGAAAAAATAGTTGATCCGCAATTTTATTTCATAATTTTGCTGGGTGGCATTCTTGTTACTAGAATTACTATTATCGTGGCAATAATTATATTTGTAATGACATGTTAAAAGTCAACATTAGGCAATCATAAATTTAAATTCAATCTTAGTCGTTAAAAATGGTTAGTTCTCACCAAGAAATAAAATATCGATATTCTTGATAACATGAATTTTGACAGGTCACTTCTAGGGGACCCGATTTGGCATATTTTCCCATCGATCATGTAATTATCATTAAATGAACAACGAAATCAGATTACGCTAAGCATGTGAATTCATTATCATCATTCAAGTTTAAAATCAATCAACAACAACAACAACAACAATGAAAAAGATAATTAATTTACGAACAAAGAAAAAGAAAAATAATAGAGACAAGAATTCTTTCCGCTTGTTAATAGGGACACACGACCAATCACCTCCACCATTCCACTCACTCTATTATAATATTATTTTCCCAGATTCACTAAAAATAATATGATGAAAAGAAACTACACCCACAACAACCTTAACAATGATTGATCTTTATCAAATAAAAAAAAAGGAACCACAGAAAATTACAACCATTCCCAAACCCAAATAAACCTTTAGAGAATAATAATAATCTTAATAATTACAGAATTAATTGTTGTTGCAGTTATATTTATATCGCACCCGTACTGTATATCCTTTATCTCCTACACATTGATCGCGTCGTGGTCGTAATTTCTCAAACAACAACTTCTAAACCGAATCCAAGATTATTAGTGCCGCTATTCATACTAGCGTGACGGCGATGACGATGAGGATAATGTTGGTGATGTTGCTGTGGCGGTGGTTGAATGCCATACGATGCAAGCAACTGTTGACTGTCAACGCCAACTTCGTCATTACCACCTGACTTTTTTTCATAGTAAAACATTGGCAACATGTTTTCAATTGAATTTTGTTGTTCTTGTTTTTCCTGCTGTTGTAGCGGATTTCTCATCATCATTGCTGTTTTTGATCCCGAAGTGTATAAACTTCTCGTCATATCGTTGCTGTTATTGGTAATATTTGAATCAATGAGATCGGCAACAGATGTTGACATAGATTCTCTCAGATAATAGGGACTATCATAATAAAAGGATGATGAGGACAATGATTTGCTTTTTTTGTTTTTAATGTTGTCTCGATTTAGCTCTTGCTGCTGATGCGTATGCTGTTTTTGACTTTCACTAGTTCCATTACCGAATCCTTCATCAAGAAGGCTTGAGAGAATATGCTAAATAAGATGCAAATACAAATAAATACAAAGTCTCCCTAATAATGCAAAAATACAACTACTCTGAATTAACATACACCATCATCCTGGATTTCTCGATGTGTAGGCAAGCTATTTCCAAAATCTCTTCCCAAGGCCAATCGAAGGAAGGCTTCGGAATTACGCCTTCCCATTATAGAGGACGAAGTTGATGAGCCGTCCAATGTAGAGGGAGGATTGTTATTGGAAGGAGGAGTACTATTGGAAGGATAAGAAGAAAGTCGAGAAGATCTATTATGTGAAAATCTATCCGAATTTGATAAGGGTTCCCTCTCGGTTCGTGATCTGTTCAAGGCGGCCGAGCGCACATGATAATGATCCAATTCGATATCACCCGGAGCTGAAGAATATGATTTTTGTTGGTCAAAAAGCTCGAATGAAAAGGCATCGTCGTCATTTTTAATTTTTCTCTGATCCCATAAACATTCTTCCTCTTCAATTTCTTGAACAGGAGAAGAAATAATTTGACCACGATTTCTATTCGAGAAATAAAGTGATGAGAAGTATCCATCTTCGTCGTCTTTTGGAGGCGTGCTTACAGGAGTCAATGGGAAAGCTCCAATCGGTGAAAAGTTATCGCTCTGATTACTATTAATACTGTTGTGTCTTCGATGTGAACCATTATTCGGGTTTAACGAAACTGTTGGCGATTGAGCAAATAACGAAAACCCGGAGGGTGATGGATTTGAACTTGACAACGACGAATTTGGAGATGAACGTCCTGAAGATTTTTGATGATCCTTTCTTATGGCTTCTGCACCATTGTCAACGTCTGAATGCGTCGAAAGGTGACTTGATCCAATAACTGGAAAATTCATTAAGGATGAAGAAAGGTTGGTATTCGTCATTTGATAATTATGTTTCGAGGAAATGTCACGTGATGGTGGTTGTGAGAGGGAATCCATTAATGATGATGGTGATGATAATAATGAAGACGACGTTTGACCATGCGTAGTTTCATTCATCAATTTCCGATTTGCAGCAATTGCATTATCCAAAAATTCTTTTTGCGCCTGAAGTTGCAATTGTTTCTGCAAGAGTTCTTCATCGTTCAACAAGGAGGGAGGCGAGTAAGATATCTCGTGCGAGTATGGAACTGTTGAATGATGATGACGAGGATTCATTGGCAATGGAATGAATGAATCGACTGTATCTCCCGGACGCAGAGCAGCCGTCGATAAAGGCTCCCATAATGCGCCATCTCCATTTCCGATACTTTTTGAACCACTCAAGTAATGATTCAATAAGAAATCATTGGGCTCTTGCGCGTGAATCTTGTCATAGTTTGATGACGATCTCGATGAAGAATGTTGTTGATACTGATGGTGGGGTTGGATATGATTATTAGTAAGATAATGAAATTGGGAAATTGATGAAGAGCTTCGGTGATGTTTAAGTACACGTTGACGTGGCGTCGTGAAAATTGGATGTGATCCTGTTCGATGGTGATTGAAAATCGGTGCATCTACGCATAATGAATATGTCAATCAGAATGATATTTTGGAAGCTTGTACAACATTTCAAATTTTGCATTAGATACCTACCATGATTTGTTTTTCGTTGCGGAATTGTTTGTGTCAAAGTGGATGTCGTCAGTAACGGTAACTGACTGTTAGCAGCTCCTCGACCTCCTTGAAATCGATGATGATGGTTGCTATTATTACTAGCAATATTGTTGTTGGAATAATGATAGTTTGTCCTGTTGCTTGTTGGGCATTCCGACCATTTTGCAAGTATTAAATTAATCTCTATATTTTTTTAAGAAAAAAAAAATATCAGATAAATACTTTTTCACGCGTTCACTTGATGAAACAGTATATGCGTTGTTTACCTTCAAATTGTGATTTAAATGCGTGCGCTTCGTCATAAGACTGCGAATCTGTTGTTTTTGTTGTTGTCAATGCTGTTTTTTCCATCAAGTCGGATTGACGAGTCAGTCGATCGATCGATATAGAAAATTTGTGTTTGAAGGAAGAAAGGAAGGGAGGAAAAAAGATGTTTAGTAGGTTGTTGATTGTGATAATACTGATTATTATAATGATGATGTAAGAGGAACCGTGGATGTTATCACAAAATGAAACACGTGAAAAGAAAAATATCAATAACTATAATAAATTGAATGAAGCAATCATTGTGTTGTAAAATTTAATGACACAGTGTAATCTCACATTAATATTTACGCCAAAATAAGGTACTAACTAAAATTAACTGAACTGATTTTCTCTGACATAATTCGTAATGATATAATAATAATAGTAATAGACTCTAAATTATCATTAATAATTGCGTATAAATGATAATTAATTTTTACATTTACCTGGTTTTTCCGATTCTTTCTCTCCTTGATTTTTAATGTCAGACAATGGTGATAATATTAATAAACATTGTTGTGATGGTTTGTGTCCAGTGATGTTTGCACTGCAAACATCGTCTTTGTCGATCATTTCATAATCACTATCGATTTTGGGTGTGTTCTTTATCGAAGACATTTTATTAAGAAAGTAGTAGGAGAAAGAAAGGTATAGGTAAAAATTTGATTGTAATCAAAAATGTATAGGAAAAAACACCACACACAATCTATTCTATACTTTATATCCTAAGTGTGTAGTTATTTCTGCTTTTTTTTCTTCTTTTGTGAATCCCTCTCTCTCTCTCTCTTTTTAAAGAACTTATAATAATATGCTTGGAACGAAAAAATCAAACAAGAGAGGAAAAAGAGGAAAAAAAAGAGAAGGAAAAAAGAAGAGAGAAAGAACAAGTGATTGAAAAAAAGATCTCTAACTTAAAAAACAGAAGTCGCAAAAAGAGTCGCGCACGCACGTAAATTCACAATTTGTCTAATTACAACCGATATGTATAAAGAACATGAAAAAGTTGAAGGTCACTAAAAAATGAGAATTTGATTTTGGGATGATGCTGTTATATATTATGCTTTATATTATCTATTATCTAACACGCGCGTGAAATATGAGATGTTGTTTCCCTATAGTTTCAAGCCAAAAAAATATTGATATAGAATTTTTTTGTTTGTATGGGTGTATGGGGGGGTTTTTTACGTAATATACAGACAGAACAGATCTTTCAAATTGCGGTTACCATTTATGTGGGTATGTAGATTGTGTATATATATATGCTATTTTCTTTATATGAAACGCGTGTGTACGTGCATCACATTGCATTCTTTGCGTGAGAATTTGTGTAATCAGAGCATAATTCTGACCGTCAAATTATTATAATAAATCGGGAATAATCTACTATTTTAGTTTCCAATTTCCGTTTGCTTTACGGAGATTTTTTTTTTATTTTATTTATTTACATGTATTTATTTATTTGTTATGTACATATAGATGCCATGCAATGCATGCCACTTTAGAGTTTAGACGATAAAATAAAACGTAAAGTTATTATGCGTTATACTAAAACAGAACTTAATTTCTTATTCCTTTTCCACCTCCTAGTTCTCTTTGAAGACAACAATGTACACAAAGCTAAAACGCGGATAATTTGTGAAATCATGCATGAAAACATAGATTAATTAATTTCGATCATATTACTACTCTATTCTCTCTTATTATCTAATTGAAGAAGCAATTAAACGTTGTTTTTAGTATCTAATTAACCTTATAAATAAACACGGGCACGAGAAATTGATAGAACAGATAAACCCCTCCAAATGAACTCTCCACAAATGCATGGTACGATTCAAGCTTATAAGATCTCTAATTGTTTTTACTTTCTATAAATGCACAATCTTTCTAAATACATGCTCATGGCTAGACCCAAGGGGTGTATTTAGCTGTATATGAAGAACATGTGCATGCGAACACTAGTATTTTCGGAATTTTCACACGATAATCAAAAGTTGAACAAAAAAATAATTAGAATCAAATGGACTCGGAATAGATTTTTTTCGCGTGAAATTTCTCTTATTACGGCGTTAATCTCATATTGATGTGCACGATGTGTTTGGTGGAGTAAGCAAAATCAATGATGGTTGATTGATAAATCTAATAAAATAATCGAAGAATTATCAATGCAAGGGTCTGCCTCGCATTCCAGTTCTTTCTGATAAATTGCGAATAAGAAGGGAATGACAGTTTAGTTCATTCACTCTTTCACTTATATGTCGATAATGATGAGAAGTGCGCGCTTAGGGCTTTCGATGTACGGAAAATCCTAAAATGCCGTCTTTGTGGGCTGTTGTTAACGGATGCGTGTGTGAATTTAGAATCGCGAACGACAAACCGACCATCTCAGGGTTTAATTTGTTATTGCTTATATAAAAAAGTTAAAAGAGAATGAATTTCATTCAATGTAAAGATTTTTAATATCTTCATCATAATCGTCTTTATTCATATTTTTTCAGTAATTTGGTTTGTAAATGTTCATTACTGCATTTTGCTGATCCGAACTCGATTGTGGTTTCTCTGATTATTATCGAGTCAATTGAAAATTTTCTACTATTAAAGTTCTAATAGGCGGATATCTACTTTTTGTTAGTTTAGTCTAGCTTAATCTAGAAGTTGGTTTGTTTTTAACCAGTTTAGTACGATTGCGACATAAAACCGGTTAGTTTGATTTGAACTAGCGTTAAATCGGCAATGGCCTAAATTTTGACCTCCGGCTAAACCGGGTCCTCCCGCTAAACTTTCTATTGAAGTTGTAATTTATTTTTATAAAAGCGTGCGCGTGTTGTCGATATACTTTAAGGGAATTCTTTCCGATGTTCGATGAAAAATTGAATGAACTTAAATACAAGAAATTTATAGACATGTACACAACTTCGATCGTGGTTATAATAATTTTTGTTTAAAGTACCAAACAAGCTTGATGTTTCGTCCTAATTTTATGCGAGAAATCTAAAATAAAATCATTGTTCACGTAGGGAGAAGCAAATGGCAGTCTTAATATGTGCATTTTTGCGATATTGTTGATTTCAAATATCGAAATTATGTATGCAATCATGGTGCCTATTTAAATTTATGCAATAAAATATAGTAGAAATTTAAAATCATCTTTTCTGTAACAAAAACAAAGCTGATCTTGTTCACGAGCATTCCCATTTGCTGGTTTCAAATACCATTCAAACGCTTTTTTGTCAACTTTTGTGTTCCGTAATCATTTTGATAGCAAACACCTACATCCATATCTTCCATATAGGAATTCACCATTTTTTTTATCTACATTGATAAAAATCATTACGATTAGAATACGCATTTGCTGTGCCGTTTTGTATAAAATTTTTGATAATTATCGGTGCTAAAGTCTTTTTCATTATTCGAAATTTCAGAATTAATTGTAGTATCGTATAATAAATATCTAACGCTAACATTTTCTTCACATGAACATTCTGATTATCTTTTTCCCATTCGAAAATATCGAGATTAGGTCGATTATCTGGCTAACGTTGTTTATAGTTCAACGTATTTATTAGGAATTCCGAAGATTATGTGTTTCTTATCATCTGTGGATTGTAAATGCATACCCGACTTGGTTAGAATTAAGGCGCTTGTTGGACATGACCAAAAGCATCTGATTTTCGTCTCGGCAATAATCACCAGTATTAGTAAATCGCCGGAACAAGACTTGATGTGCAAATTAAAATGCCTCACAAAACGACTTAATAACATCAAGGAAAAGGAGAAACATCTCTTATTTAGTTTTTTTTATAAATTATTTTTTGCAAAGTTCAATGTTCGAAACTAAATTTTCAAATATTTAATTCACAGAATAAATTATAAAGATTAATTTTTAAAAATGTCCTCTATTCGCTGAAAATTTACTAATAAAAATTGTGGCTGTTATAATCGAATGCATATACAGTGGCGCACAAAAGTATTGCATCACCCGGATGATAAATTTCACGATTTCATAAGACAACATCAATCAATATATAAATAAGCTCATTTTAATGCCTATATATGGACGAAACATTTTATTTTTCATGTCGTACATTTAAAAAAAATAAACCACATTTTACATCAAATCAAGCGATCCGTTTCTATTTGATCGTTTTGATAAATAAAAATAAAATCGATAAACTAAATAAATTTATGAAAATTTAACATAGCCACCCTTTGCATTAATTACATATTGAATGCGTTCTTCCATACTTTCAATTAACAATGCGTTATCAATTTCGATCCAAATTTTTTGTATCGCATCTTAGAGTTGATCTTGAGTATGGATACCAATTGATGACAATGATCTATTTCATTCCATAGATGCTCAATTGGGTTAAGATCAGGTGATTGGGCAGGCCAATCAAGCAAATGGATATCATTATCATCAAACTATTTGTACATAGATTTTGCCATGTGTTTCGGATGTTGAAAGACATCATTTTTATTAATTTCATACCACTGGATTGTCTGCAGGTTTCACGTGATGCTCTTTCAAAGGTTTATCATCATCCAATAATATTCATAAATTTTGATTCATCCGACCACAATATTTTTTTGCAAAATTCAAATGTTGAATTCGATGTGTTTTTTTGAGATTTGATTTTTTTCACTTATATTGTGGTTATGCTGACATCAATTTTATCATCAGTTTTTAAATTTTTTTTTTGGATAAATGTTGCAGTGGAAAAACTACCATTCGAAATCAGATGTATAATATTTTGTTCATCACATTCAGTAAAAATTTTTGGATGACCTGGTTTTAGTAAATCTTTAAAGGTATTATGAGTATCTTTTTTTTTGCTTTATTCTTATAATGTATTTTATTTATAGGAGGTGTGTTTTGTTTTGTTGTGTGTTTTTTATCCATTTATATATTTATTTTAAGGGGGGAAATGATCAAAAGAAATGCATCAGTTTGTCATAATAAAGTCCAAGTTAAGCAAAGTGTGTTACATTTTATTCTTTAAATTGCGTGTACTATTTATTTATGCTTTTAACTATATATGGGCTAAATTTCATTTACCTGTGGCGTCTATATTGCTAAAAATTCCCTGATTCGTTTTTTCATCCCAGTGATGCATTACTTTGAGCGCCACTGTATATATATATATATATATATAGTTACACCTCTCTAAGTGCATCTCCCTAAGTGCACGCACTTTATAACTCCACTCTAAATACATGGTATATTCTGGTCTCAGCTTATAAGAGCTCTATATATTTTAACCTCTATAAATGCACACTTTTTATTTTTTTTACTATGGTCCCAAGGGGGGGGGGGTGCACTTAGGGAGGTGTAGCTGTATATATCCATACAGTATTCAGTGTTTGAGAATAACCTTTTATATTTTGCCTTGTAAAAATTATATCTTGCAACTTTTGTGATGTCATCACCTATGACAGAACGAAATGAACAAGAATTTAGAAAAGATTGCTCTGGCATCGCAGAACCAAAAGTCTGCACACATTGTAATATGCAAATGATGACTCTACATTGGTGTAGCACGTGTGAACACAAAAAATTTAAACAAAACTTTAGTGATTGGATGACGAAAAACACAATTAGAGGCTTCAAATCATCGTGA